TTGAATGGTAAATTGATACACAGATTTAAAGGTTGAACTAATGGCGTGGAATAACAGCTATGTCTGCATAATACTCTTTCAATAATTTCTTCGTAATATCCGTTAGATGGGATTTAAACATGTTCCAAACTAAAAGACTTTCTGGATTCTTTAAGGCAACAGGACACTTTTGCCAAACATTTCTTATCCACAGTTTCACACCATTTTTATCCACCTACGCTGAGGTGAGATGTTTCGTGACCTGTTGTTTTATGTAAACCGTTTTTGGGCCTTTGACATCAATTACTCACATATCGTTCCCCATATCGCTTGTCAATTCAGTATATAATTGTTCGAAAGCCTGGAAAAAACCTTGAAGTACAATGACGACTTCTTAAAATTTGGATTTATATCTACAATGGAAAATGATCAAACTGTTACCGAGTGCTTGTAGTGTAACTGCGAACAGTGCTTTTATTCCGAGGAAGCTCCAGTGTCATTTGCTCACTAATTATCCTTCAGTTGCATTAAAAGACAAAACCCGCTTTCAATAATCATTATCTGCAAGATACAAATTAGATTTTTCGAATAATAATTCATATTTGAAAGAAATTAAAATTTCGTGAAATTTATGTTTGGCCGAAGCACAGACGGTGCTTCGGCTATGACTGGATCTATAAAAGGATTTGTAACACATTTCTAACGGAGCATAATGCAGATGTATTAGTTACCCTCCTTTTTTTTTTTTTTTTTTTTTTTTTTTTTCATTAGGGAACACTCATTACAAAATATTTACCATCATAAGTGATAATAATGTTGGAACAATCTTTTAAAATAATTAATTACATAAAATCAAAACCATTAAAAAGACACCTATTTAGTCAGTTATGCCAAGCTAAGGAGTCTAAATGTGAATCGTTGTTACAGTACACGGAAATTACATAATTATCCAGATGAAAAGGCCCCAATCAGTGAGCGAATGCTAAAATTGCTGAGCACTGGTAGTTCGATATAGGAATATACGGTTTTGAGCCATTTTCCCTTAAAAGGCCCTCCTCCTCGTAGGCAGAGAGCCTACATGAGTTTTGCGGTAGTCAGATAAAACAAACCAGAGGGAAACTTTATCTTACGTGCTTCAAGCTATTTTTTTTTTTTGAATAAGGTAATAATGATTTTGTTGAATTGTTAGATGAAATAATATGGTGTGCTTATCTGATATTTTTATTAATGTTTAATACCACAAAATTGAATATACAAGAACCGAAAGAAAATAGTTTAATATCAACCTATAAATTGTTGGGATTAAAAAAAAAATGTACAAGAAGGTAATTTAGACTAAGTCAGCCGTTTTATAACAGTCCCAAAGATTTACATAAAATAATTATTGATACTTTAAAAATACTAGAGCAAAGAATTGCGTATTAGTTTCAAATTTAAAAGTTAAAAAAAAAAAAAAAAATCTTTGATTGGGTTCGAAATTTATTTGTAGCAAACGACATGTCTGTGTACGAATTATCTTTGAAAGAAGAGGAAGAACTAATTTCAGTGTGTACTATCTTAGAATTTAATATTTCGAAACATTCAGAAGAATCCATCAGTTCGTTCTGTGTTAATCTTAGATACGATTACCCGACAATACCACAAAAAGCTTAAAGTGTTTTTCGCATTTTATTAGTGCGAATTCGAATTTTCGCCTTTGACCAACACACACAAACTAATAATTTATAAAAGATCTCGACTTTTAAACCTGGATCACAAAAAATAAGAGTAGCATTATCATTTTACGCCCAAATAAATATAAATGAAGTTATCAAAAAACACCAGTCTCAAATTTTGCATTAATTATAATTTATCTTTAACATTTGCAATGGAATTTTATTTCATATTTCATTGAAAATGATTAGCGTATGCTATTTTTACAAAATACATTATTAGACACATTAATCAATTAACCAAGTAAAATTCTTTTAAACTTATCTTGTAGTTAGAGTGCCGCCAAATTTGTAAATTACTAAAAATATACCGTGACGAAAAAGAAGATTGAGAATCACTAACATATAATCAATTTGTACATATATTAATAATATATAATATTAATAAAAAATTATTAATAATTAATAATTTTAATGTAAAATTAAATTCTTAGAAATATATAATTTATTTTTTATTTGTCATTAGTTTAAATATCTTCGGGAGGACACTCATTGAAAGGTGGCAACCGTGCTTTTATATATATTTAAAAAAAATATATAGGTATGCGATATAGGAATATACGGTTTTGAGTTCTTTTTGTTCTAAACGTTCTGTCTTATTCAGATTGTCATATAAAGAAGTCTTGCGGTAATAAATTTATACCGCTAGGCGTAGCGAGTTTTGGCATTCACTATAAACGGCGAACCACTTTTTAAATTGTTGCCACCAAATATTAGAGCCTGTATTACATTTAAAGAAATTAAATAATGAAGAATCTACACATAAGGTATGCGTGTGTCGGAAATTCTGAAGATATGCTCTTTTAAATATTTTGTGATATTGTTGTTGAATTGAATTTTATTGTTTAAGTGCGAAGAACATGATATTTAATAAAGAAAGTAAATGCACAAAAAGGCCTTTTTGGAAATGTAATATTTAAAAAAAAAAAAAAAAAAATTCGGATTTTATTTTTTAAAGAAAAGATTTACAGATTTCTTCTAGCTTCATTGTTCGCGTAATAGAGCAAATCTTACATATTATGTTATTTTCTTCTTGCAAGCAATGGAACTGCATTTTGCATTCTAATAAAAATTCCCAGCATAAAATTAGGAATCTGTTACTTAAAGTTATGTTTCCAAAAATTAAAATTTTAAACTGAATTTTTTCCAAATATTTCAAATTACGTTCTTCATTTTGTAACTTGATTATATAACTACTTTTATATGAGCACACATCTCATAAATTTAAATAAACTTGTCAGCATTTAAACTTCCTTGTTAAAAAAAATTAAAAACAATAAAATTTTGTTTTAAAATCCCAGTTATCTCTCATTAAGAATAACAAATCTTCTCAAAATATGTGCCTGATTTTACGCTGAGATTTTGAGAAAAGTTATTAACTATGATAATGTACAAAAGAAGAACGAAAAGAACTTAATTTCCTTTTAATTCTATTACTTCTCTATTTCAGCAAGAGATGGCGCTGCCATTCCGTTCTTTCGTTTCGTACATTTACTTCAATTTTCGTGAAATCATTCGATCTTTCTCAAGGCCCTTTGAATGTAACTTTGATTTATTTATTAATGTAAACAACAATATAATTAAGTGAAAAAAGATATAAAAAAGGTAAGTAATAAACTGCTTGTCAGAAATTAGATATTTTAAGTTCCTGGTATATCAGTCATTATAACGACTGAAATTAAAGATATTGGAAGAAATATGATTTCATTAATATAAATTAATAAAAATATGTTTCTCGAATAAATTTTGCATACTTTTAAAAGCCTGACTACACAGAATATTATTTTCACAGTTTTTGATTATATCGTATTACCCAAAACTTTTTCCGGAATAAAGGAAATTGCCAGAAATAAAATGCCTTAAAACAGCAAGCTTGATCTGAAATACATTTAAGCAGAGGTGGATTTTTTAGGAAAGAAAAAACCTCGCCTCTTTTCTGTTTTCGCTATATTAAAATATTTCTCCTCCCTTTAGTTTTTTCAGCACATAATTAAGAAACTTCATTTATGGTAACAATAGAAAAATACATGTTCAACTAGAAGATATTTTGCTATAGACAATATTGGTTTGCCTTTATGTGTGATGTTAACATTGAAATCTTCGCTGTAGAAATAGAACACATCGCATATTCTTGTCCTCTGACGTTTCAAAGGGGCAAAATTAGTAGAAAAAGGGGGGATACGCGAGTAATTACTGTACACATTATTTACTAGATTTTTCTTCAAAAAGATGGTATGAATTTTTTTTAGTGATCATGTAGTGAAATTTTTTGGCTTTTCCTTTTTCTTTATAATCAGCTTCATTTCAAGAAACAACTCCGTGAAAAATAATAACGCGATGCATTAATTTCTCTCAGAAAACTTTGAGAAGAAAGCTAACGAGGGAACGTCATTGCATTCTGTACACTAGTCAATTCGGTTATTGGCCCTCGAACGAATGACGTCACTCTAAGGTGCTACGTCATTGCCTTCTATTCGAGAACTCCGTTGCTAGGATCCTTTCGGCAATTTACTCAGCCATGTAATACTTTTCTTATCTATTTTCAGTAGTTCACTCCTATTATTTTAATATCCATCCTATTTTTAAGATAAGATATATGCAGTTTTTCAAGATGTGCATGCAACCAAAAACTTTTAAATTTCATTTCTTTCACTGAATAAGGCTTAAACACCACAAAATTAATTTTCAACTTATGAAATATACGATATACATACTTTAGAATTGTTGCTCATGATCAAGTATTAACAGTCTTCAAGTATGAAGTATTAACAGTAACAGAAATACATCTGTATTTTCATTCTTTTATTTTTCTATGCTAGTTGAAGTGTAAGATGGATTTCTGTTTCAAATTAGGAGGATAAAAAGGAATATTTTGAGTGAATATACCTTAAAATATTTTCTCACCATATTAAAAGTAAAATTTTCATATGTTGAATAGTTAGCTTACTTAAATTTGTATTTATAAATAATTCAAATTCATCCTCACGATTCTTGTTCTTTCACAAAAAGAAGTGAAAAAGCAAATGAGTTGTACTTTTTAACAAATCATATTCCATTTCTTAATATCCTCATGTAAATATTTAAAAAACTAAGGTGATGAGTCATGTTTTGTTTTCAATGTGTTATATTAATAAAATCTATTGCACCTATAATAATGAATAGTTTAAAACAAAAGAGTTTCAAAGACAAGAGTATTATTTACATAAACATGTGCTTCTTGTAAAAGTATATGCAAAGAAATGCAGTGAATTTCTTCAGGAGAATAAGATAATAATAAAAAGTTTTCAAAATAAACACCACAAAAAGAAATAGTTTTACATCTAGTTTATTTTGGAATTTCCCTGCATAGAAAAATACCTCTGGTTAATAATTATATATTTACATATGTACAAAATGCTTTCATAGAAGAGCAGCTGACAATAGGCCCAATAAAAGCACAAGAACATGAACAGTTTTCTTATACAAGTTAGCAGCAACTTGCACTTTTTGGCCAATGAGCCGCTTCTGGTAGCTTATGAACACACTGCATCACCAGCAGAAATAAATTAAAGGTATTTGTTGCAAATATACAAACTCCTTAAGGAACTTTGCAGCTCATTCAGCCTATTTACATATTTACATTAATAAATAGACAGCAACTGTGAACAGGACACACATTTGACTTGTCCAAATAAATAGTCCTCTGGTCCATTGGTCTTTGGACTACACAATCATGATGCGGGGCAGTGATGACTTCAATTCGTAAAAACAGGGTTCCCACTTTAAATAATTCAAATGCACCGACAAAAAATATTGCAGCTAAGCTTTTAAATTAACAATAATGCTAATACAGGCCAGCTTGATTTAAATACCTATTTAAATAATATCTTAGTTGGGACAAAACATTTTTCATCTCGCATGGCTAATATCACTGGAATGTTTTCATACAAATTTGTTGACAACATTGGAACGTTGTACAAAACAATGAACAAACAAATGTGCAAGATACAATCTTTGATAAACTCAGGAACTTGAACCAATAAAAAGATCTAAACAGAATTAGTAGACGTCATGATCTACTAATCTGTATGCTAAGTAAACTACATCTATTCTTGAAAGATAACAAATCAACAATCTGACTTCAATTTTCCCCCATTAATTATTTATGATAACAAAAAGTTAATGTTTACATTACTGAATAACATTAATTAAAAAAGAAAAACAATAAACTACTCTTAAGAATTCAATAAAAAACAATTTAAATATATGAAGTACAATTTTAAAGATTTAATTTGTAAAAATATTCAGGCAATCTAACTTAATGCTTTAGATTAAAATGAAAGTCATAATTAAACGAGGTTTAAGTCACATTCTACAAATAAATAAAGCTAAAAAAATGACAAATCTAGTCATTTTTAGAGTACTACCTCCTCCCCTAAAAGTTTGTGTTCATTTGGCAACAGAATAAGTACATTTCAAAGCTGTATCTTACACATTTAAGAGACAACAATAATAAATAAAATAAATAAGAGCACTGTGGGAACCCAAATAGTCAACTAACGGATCCTCGTCTCTCAACCTAGAAGCGGCGCTGAGAACTAGCTCAAGTGGGCTTCAGGCATTTAGGAACCATTACATTTGTCTATGGTACAGTTAATAAATTAGGCCAAGGTGGAGTCAAATGCTTTCTTGGCTACTTGCAGAAGAATTCAGTTCGAGACAGTCCTCAATGTTACGGGCACTATGACGAACAGGAATGCTGGGTGAAGGGAGGTTTTCAAGCGGCATCGTCATCCACGGATGTCGAAGAATTTCCTCCAATGTTGGTCTGTCTGCTGCTCTAACTGAAAGGCATTTCCTGATAAGGTCTTTGCATTCTGGAAAGAACAAAACAAAAATGAGACTTTATGACAAGATTTCAAATCTTAAAATCATCTTGACTTCAGTTTTTCCCCCATTAATTATTTATAACAAAATGTATTTTTTATTATGTATTAAATAGCCTAACAATTTCATAAAAGTAAATGCAGAATTAATAAAAACAAATACCCAATAATATAAATTAAATTTTAACATTAAACATTTCTTGTTAGTTAAAGCAAAATTATGTTAAAATCCAAGTTTTACAAAATTAAAATTTATTATTTAAAAGTGGCAATATTAACACTATATATCAGCTGCAGAATTTCATTTAAAAATATTTAGAATATTTTCCCTATTTACAACTCTTTTCAAGACAAAATCTGTACAACTATAAGAAAAAATTTCATCCTCACCATTTGAGAGAAATTTCTTGAACCTCACATCAGCTCTCAGGATTTGTTCATCTTGTTCAAAAGGTATATCTCCGCACACCATGTCATATAACAAAATACCCAGAGACCACACTGTTGCAGCACGTCCATTATAACGATGGCTATGAATCCATTCTGGTGGACTGTACACTCGTGTTCCTGTAAAGAATAAAAGAATAAAGAGTTTAGACTAAGATTATACTTTTTACCATTCAACTTTAAACCATAATGAAATAATTTGCAATCCTTCAGTTTACACATCTTAAAAGCATTGGTAAATAATTGTTTTTAAGATGTGTAAACTGAAGTCCGTTAGTCTAGTCATAAGCATTGCAAAATGGTATATAATGTTATCAAGTCTTTAATAAAAGTTAAGCGTTATTTATGCACCCTACACTTATCTGCTATAAATTATTATTAAAAACTTAATTGCATGTTTTCATTGGGGAATATATATACTATATTATTAATATAGGATCAATTATTTCATGTTAGTATTTTGGTAGCAATGCACAAAAAATAAATATTTAGAGGAAGCGTCCTTTATTTTTTTTGGAGGGGGGGACAAAAGAAAAAAAATAAAGGATAACAATATTCATATGAGGATATGAAAATTTTCAAATCAATAAAATTCGACTAAAGATGAACATTTTATTCAGTCAAAAAAATTAAAACTTAATTTATAAATTTGAATTGCACTAAAAAGTTCATAAACATGTTCTCCTCCAAAGCAAAAAAACTTGCATCTATCTTATTAGCATTCCTGGTAGTCTAGCTAGCCCCGGTACATGCATTTGACCTAGTTGCCTACGCGGCTGAAACCAAGAAATCCTGTTCTGTGGTATGTGGCACTAAAAGAACTGCTTTACCTTGTATGGAATGCGGTTTCGTTTAATCTAAAAGAGCAAAAAATAATAATAAAAGTAAAGGGTTGAATGGCCAGGGTAACACAGCGGATATGACGTTCTGACGGCTACTTTGGAGGAGGGATAATTCTATCCATCTATGGGGAAAGAATAAGGCATAAAGGGAATTCGGAAGATAAACAACTTATGATCGCTGATGTAAACAATAAAATATCTGAATATACATTAGAATTAATTATTTTAACTTAAAGGAAAATTATTGTGAGTATGAAGTTTATTACTAATGTTCAGCCTAAAATAGTATCATCAACGGGCAGAAACACAAAGTTGGTAGCAAAATAAAAATTCCAATTTTGAGGGTCGATGTACCCCATCGGGATAACCTGAGGGTGGCTAGGAAGATGCCTAGCATGGAGAAATCTCCCGCCAAACATCGATCGATGACTTTTCGCGCCAGACGCTTAGATTTGGCACCGTGCCAGAGAAGCTCTCGTCTGCTGCAAACAGCCAGACATTTCAAATCCATGCGCCTGCGCAAAGCACAGTTCCTACAGTGAAGACGAAGGGCACAGTGTGAAGGGATCGAAATAATGCAATGAAATGGGGGGGGGGGACTCCGGATGTGGCTTTTTTCTCACACCGAAGAAAGCTTAGATTTCCCCCTTAAAAGTTATTCTAAGGAACTGCATGAATGAATCCTAACATCGATAAAATGAAGTCTCTTTAAATGGGAAAAAAATTATTTTCTAAAATTTAGAATACCTTACACCTCTTTTAAATTAAATCATAACAATCACAATGAATTAGGTAACAAGGACATCTATGAAATTATATACAATGACATACATACATCTGGAACCAACAAAAATGATTCAGAACAGAATAATGAGTAACGTTTAAGAAAATAAATTGAAGCTAAATATATCTTCTGCGGCGCCAGCCGTCTTGCAACCTTAAAGTTGGCGGTTTCACTTTAACGCAGGACCACTGCCAAGTAATTATTATTAGCTGCATTGTTGGGTTGGGGCGTTCTGCACCAATTACACCCTTTCAAAACTCGAAAAAAAATTTTTTTTTGAAAGCAATTCATTTTGCATCCTATTTTTTTAAGCATGCGTAAGTACGGGTAGCTGCACATTAACTTAAACATTACTGAAAATGAAATCGAGGTACTTACCATCAAAATCTGTGTACATGGTATCCTTTAAGAATGCACCGGAACCAAAGTCAATAAGCCTCAGTGTCAGATTTTTTAAATCCACAAGAATATTTTCGTCCTTAATATCTCGGTGTATAACACCCGATTTATGGCAGTCTATAACAGATTCCACAACTTGATGAAAAAACACACGGGAAAGTTTCTCTTCCAGAAATCCTTTCTCTGTAATATAATCGAACAGATCCTTCACCGATTCTGGCCTTTCCATCACAATTATGAAAGAATCTGGGCGTTCATAATAGTCCAAAAGCTTCACAACTCCCTTTACATGATTCACTTGCTTCAGCAGGCATATTTCCAAGGGTATCCTGCCTCCATTTAGCTGTAGAGAATACACTTTATGAGTATGAATAAATCAAAATAAAATTCACATACTTTTATTACAATAAATAGATTTTAACTTTATCTATAGCAGAAGTTGTGATATAAATTCCGTATATCTGAATAGACTACTGCAATGGTTATTATATAGCATAATTGCTAAAAATCGCTGTATTTCATAAATGAAAAATCAACGTTAGTTACATTTAACGCAGTAAAAATTTTCCACAGTCAAATATTAAATACTATTCATATCCGATTAAAATAATCTGATTCAAAACGTAATTATATTTATGGTAGACTTCAAATTTTTAACTTGAACCAATGTACAATTAAGATTCCTACTAAACAACCTGAAGAACTGAAAACAATGCGAACTTCAAGAAGCAATAGGTGTAAATCGAAGATTTCGTATTCTAAATTATGAATACGCGAGTAATGTATATAAAAATAACTTTATAAATATAAGAAAAAAGGAAGGCAGTTAACATTACGCAAAACATTTAACATCTCATCCTACATTCCATTCAGGCAATAAAAATAAAATTTTTCCTATAACGTAGATGGCACTACCAATTTCTTGGCGCGGAAAAGGTCACTGCATGCGACCTCAAAATATCCGCGCCAAACACACACATCACACGGGAAATACGCCCGACGAAATGCAATCGATAAATAAGGGCACTAGCTCGGGAATTCCCAGCGTTTTCGCGCTACAAACAATCTTCAGGCACTGCGAGAGGGAAAAACGATATAAGGAGAGAAAGATGCTTACCTGTCCCCATTCTGTCACTTTTTCTTTTGCAACATGTTTAATTGCGACCTGCAAAACAGAAAATAAATTCCATTTAGTAACAATAATCAAGCACACAATTCACAGCATATTTTCAGCGATATCCGTCATCTATATATGCTGCGAGTTCTCTGAAACCAAAGCGTTGCATTTAAAATCAAAATACTAGATACAGGAAGATTATAAAACAAGACTTATTTACTTACCGGAACATTATCTCTGATTCTGGTACCAGCGTAAACAGTTCCAAATCCACCTTTACCAAGTACTGGGCCCACTCTATAGCATTTCTCAAACGGATCTCGGTCTCGAACTGCAAAGATACGAAAAGTCAAAATTTAGAAATATGTAATGAAAACATCGAGGAATAATACAGTGTATCCACCATAATCCAAAAAACAAGAAATATCCTGATAGCGTTATTTCGCGGCATGAAATTGCGTAGTATCGAACATTTCTTATGAAAAAAATATAATACCGAACTTTGATAAGTACCTGGGTTAGGACCAACACTGGTGTTTGAAAACATATTAAAAGCTGGAATCTTCCTAGATAACATTATCCAAAGACAAGTAAGGAATCACAACACTGAAAGTAGAACGTCCGTGGAAGATGCGCTAATCTTTTATCATCCACCAAAACACTGAGTATAAATAAACACACACAACCTCTTGCAACGAACTCCTACTACGTTATGGTGATGTGAACGTTGACCATAGAGTAAAGTTTCCCGCAATTCGTATCCTTCCGCAGCGAGAGGCGGGTTTACAGCAGCGACCATGCGTTGCAGCAAGAGGGGATTCAGTACAAAATAATGAAAATTCTTTTAGTAGAAAACTATTCTAACTCATGTGTAATCATTCGAAATATTTGAATGATTATTTATTTCTAAATTTTAGTCATTTTATTTTAAAATATTTTAAATTCTAGTTGTGAACTATATTTTTCTGATTTGCGGAGGAAGTCAAAGGGAAAAGTCTGCAAAGAAGCAAGGTTTGCTTTCGACTGCTACACCAACCGCCAAAATGGACCAATCAACAAGCAGACGGCATACGCTTTTCCCCAGATTTCAGCCAATCGGGTCGCGAGCGTGAGCGTTGGCGTAGGCCGGAAGCTCCGATGATTTTCGCAGTATGACAACGAGGAAAACACAGCAGTAGAAGATCAGACTGTGACGAGGAATATCAGGACCGTGTAAAGGGACATAGGCGAAAACAAAAGTACGATCGAAATCATAGATATGAACCACCCATACATTCTACTTATTTATACCGAGGACTATTTCGTTTATTATGCGATCTCTTTACTTCAAATTTTTTATAATTCGCATAAGTTTTTACTGCATTTTTACATTATTAAAAATTTAATTTCGTATTAAGACCTGTTAAAATTTCGAGTTCAAATTGTTTAGATAAATGATTTTTATATTAAAAAAAAACAGATGTCTTGATCACAGATTAGCAGCATACATCTATTTTCAAACATTAATAGCGTTTAAGTGTATGAAATTTATTAAAAGTTAGCTCAGTTCTTTTACCGTAATTTGGTACGTAATAAAAAATTCACATTCTTCTAATTTCTATGTTATTTAATTGCATTTAGTTATCTGAAAGTATTATTTAACTTGATGGGTTTTAATTTTCAGACTCCTCAGAGTCATGTTTTTTAATTTAAAAGGCAGTTAAATTTTAAAGTTAACAAACAGAATTCTGCCTGTATACGTTTTTAACTAGCGACATTCCATTCGAAATTTTATATACGATCGTGTAATTTTGCTGCATTAAAATTGGGGGAAAAAGATTTCAATTAAATTTAATAAAGGAATATTTATCCACCTTTTCCATCTGTTCCATCAGGGACTGGCCTATTTTATAAGAACAAACTATTAAATTCTACTAGTAGTAAAACTACAATTCTAGTTTCTAGTAGACTCAATAGTTTTAATTATAGTTCACAAACATAAGTGCACCAGAATATACTGTTTTCTGTGTTTATATTATGATATATAACAGAGAAAGCTACTTCGCGAAAGCGGCATGTTTCTTCCATTTTACGTAACTTGAATTTTATAGTCTGACTTATATTTTTTATTATATTATTAAGAAATTATAAATGGTAAATAAAATAAGCTTTAAATTATTTTTGAAACAGTACTCAGTATAATTGTACTGACTCGTATTGCTACGACTGTCTACGATTAATTTATGTCTTACTATTTAAAGAATGCAATGACTGGAAATGCAATCATATTAATTTTTTATTTAACGCCTAAACATTGTTTGTGAATTATTTCTACTGCTTATTCCATTAAAAGCTATTTTAAAAAGTGTAATAACTGCATTTGACAGTAAGGGGATTTTAAATTCAGTTATGATTGCCGTATAATAAGCAGTAATAAATATGTGACTAGATTTACTGCATACTGAAGATAACAACCACCCTTAATCCGGGGGGGGGGCGGAAGCTTTGTTCACTTTCACTTTAGTTGGTTAGGACAAAGCACACCAGGGCTATCTGCCTAAGGTGAACCTTCACGTAGGGAAACTGGCTGACGTAGAAACACTTTCTAAGGGAAACTGGCTTGTGTACACGTTACACTTGGGAAAACAACGAAAACGCCCATGCAGCTGACCGTTCGGATGGAATCGAACCCAGGTCGGAACTACTCGATTTTACCGCTCGGCAATGGGTGGAGGGGGAGGAAGCAGTTTAGTCTGAAGACTAAGTTCATATACGTTACGTAAATTGAATCAGTAGTCAAGACAAAAAATTATTTTTCCATAATTCTGTTTTCTTTTTCACAAGACCCGGGAAATTGGACGTTAATTATAATTGGGTTCTAGTAAAAAAAATGCTCTAAAAATAATTGGAAGATTTCAATTCGGGGAAAAATTTCAATGAAATGAAAGCGTCTCCATTTAAAAAAATAAAAAACCATCACTAAGTGAATGCTTCTATGAATGCTACAAGTTGTTTATAGTAAACAGAGGCAAAATGTAATCAAAAACTAAAAAACATATGTATACTATTTTGTAAATAGAAAACTGTTTTATAAAATATATGTTTTATAAATAGAAATGATTTAATTCGCTTTCGTCATTTTACATGTATTCATTAACAAAGTTAATAAAGACAGAATTCTTTGGCTGTTTTAGTACGGTACACAATGCTTGTTAATTACCCCGCGAATTCCGGCAGACGGAAATGCAGATTCAGGGCGAAAAAAAAAAAAATCCATATAAAGTCAATTCTGGCACTGTGCCAAGAAGAGGAGTCTGTTCCCCCTGCCGCCTTTCGCCAGACGGTTCATCTCTTAATGTTTGAAGAGTGAATTTTTAGACTGAAAGATGGCGCTGCAATCGTTCCGGGATCGCGGCAAAATGTGGCTTAGCGCTTGGAAACGAATGTATATACTATTTCCGATAGTTTCTGTCTTCTCTAAAACGAGTCATTTCGAAAAATTCCTGAGCGTTTTTATGAAGAAATAAATGCTTGGAAGTACTTACTGAATTTTAACTCTGCGTGTAATGAACAAAGCGGATATTTCGGATAAATGAATATAAAATGAACCTCCCAATTCTCTGTATAGATCAGCGGTTCTCAACCTTTTGACTAACGCAGGGTTTCTTAAACTGTGGGTCGCCAAAAATTTTAGCAGTTTTGATAGTTTTTTAACTTATTATAATAACTTTACAATTACCAACTATTTTTACACAACGTATCTGAAAGTAGATAAAGATAAGAGAATACAGGCAGAAAAAAAAAAAAAAAAAAAAAAAACGAAAACGTTTTGATGCATTTCTTTTTAAAATATAAACGTCCAATTTCCTTGGTTTGCACGTAACACTGTCATTTCGTTTGTTACTTATTTAAAATTTTCACATTGTTCTATGCCTAAAAATTGAAAATTAAAGACAGGTTTAGGTTTTAGTTAATAGTAAATTACAGTACAAGTGAAAAAATTGACAGTTTCACTCACGCGTGTGTCGGATTTGCGCAATACTTATGGGGTCCTGGGGGTCGCCAAAAAATCTCAGTGATAAAAAGGGGTCGCGACTTAAAAAAGTTTAAGAAACCGTAGACTAACACGTACCATCTACACACAAATTGAAAACTTTAGTACCATCACAAGATTATTTTCCAATTTCTCAAAAGAAATATTAAATATATATATACTGCCATTTGCATAACCTATTGGCTCTTTGTATTAAATATACAAAGAGCCAATAGGTTATGCAAATGTACATAAAAAAATTGGATTAAAAATTGGTTACCATTTTAATTATCAAAATTTAAGTTATAATACTTTAATTTTAAAATTTAGTGTGAAATCTGGGCCTGTTTAAGCGAGATCAATTTCTTTATTCTTCACTTAATTTTAAGCGTAAATTAAGATCGACTTTTAATTTTGTTCTATATTTATTTTTCAAATATAACATGGAAGAAAAATACTTCTTCACACAAATAAGTTGTACAAAAAGGCAATAAAAATTTAATAGCTTTATTTGAAATGCCTTTAAATTCTATTTTTCGGTTCATCCAACAGTTAACAAGTCTGTTATTTTCGAAATCTTCCGTTAGAGTTCGATCACTGGAAATTTCTATAAATTGTTCTTTTTCATCAGGAGAAAAAATTCAGGTATATTTGAACAAAAGTGGATTTCTAACCCAATTTTCTTTTTCATAATCCTCGAGAAAATACATGTTGAAATTATGTGAACGAGAAAAAAGGATTTTTTAATGTCGAATGCTATCTTCTTTTATTTTCAAATTATATTCGGTTAGAAAACTTTCTAAAAGTGGTTAAAAAGCTTAAAATAATATTACCCAATTCTTTATCATTGCATTTATTTTATCCCTAATGGTAAACAAATTAAGACTTTGTCCATATTTCCTAAATTTAATTCATTTAACTTTCCGAAAACATCAGCTAAACGCGCCAACCATGATTCACTGAATAAACAATTTCGCAATTCAAATTTTGAATCACAGAGGAGAATTTGATCTCTCATCATGAGACAAAAATTCGATGGATTTTATGCCAGTAATTTTTTTTTTGAATTTAATGTTCGTCTTTTAATGAAATTAACAATTTTCACAGCTTGATTCAAAACGGTTTTCTGGTTTTTGACGATTGTTTTGGCTACTAAACCTTCAGGATGAATGGAGCAGTGAGTAAATTTAGTTTCTAGTGGGACTGTATTTGAGAAAAAACACCGGAATATTTTCCTGTTAAAGCCCGAGTTCCGTCACTATATACGGTAATGCACTTATTCAAAGGAATATCATTCTCAGATATAAAATTCTGAATTACTTTGAAAATTTTGTTTGCAGTTGCTCTGTCATGAAGAGATTCACAAAATAAATACTCTTCGACAATTTGGTGATCTTCTTGGAAATGTATGTAAACTATAATTGAACAAAATTGCAATGCGAAATCCTCATTGTGTTTCATTTTTTGAATAAGTGTCTCTTTTATGGAATTTGCCATTTCATGAATTCGTCGACTTCGTCGATTCGTGTATCATTTGATAACGGAATATAATTAAGTTGATTAGCCACTTTTTCGTTTAATAATGTTAAAACGATATCTTTCGCTGCTGGTAATGTAAGGTTTTCTGCAATAGTGTGAGCCTGCCCAGTCCTGGCAATTCTTAGGCTTACTAGGTAACTAGCTTCCAAAATTTTTTCACTTTT